AAAGTTTGCGTCAAAGGAATAAATTGGCCTCTCGTTAAAATTTTTTAATAATGATATGGGTAATTAAAATGGTCTACCCAGTTGTTTTCATTGATGTACCTTTTTAATGAATGAATCGTCAGTCTAGGTATTATTATATGTCAATGACTCAGCATCGGGTATTGGCTGCCATTTTTGTTTTAATTATGCGGGTGTGAAAATTTTTTATCTAAAAATTGGATTCTTTTGTAATATATTTTATTACTATATATTCCATCCATTATCATCAGCACCCTCCCCCGACTCATAAATATCATCATCAAAAATCGAATTGACAGGGTCGATATCAGATATCGGTGAAATCGGATTCGGCTTTTACGCCCCTTCCCCATATATGTATAAATTTATACTAATCTTTTTATAATCAGACGCCACACCAATGAATAGGGTCCAGAATGAGTCGCCATTTTGTGGAGTTTCTACTACAGTCAAAGACAGTGCCGGGCTAAAACGAATGCTGAGTAGTGGAGGAAGAAATGGCTCTTTAAATAATAGTTTTAACTTGGATAACAATAGCAATCGGGACAATCGTAGTTCCAAGTATTCTAACGGTTCAAATACAACCATTCAGCGCACTCCATTACAGAATACGAATACCGGATACAATAACCCCGATAATGTCAAAAAATATTGCGCAATTACCCCTATGAAAGATCAAATGAGGGATGGTATGAACAGGTAGTTATTACATTATTCAAGGAATTAGGGATCGGATACACTGCATACAAATTTTAATATATCTTATTGCCCTCCCCCCTATCCCAACTTAAACAAAATTTGTAGTCGTTTTGTGCAATCTATATGTTTGTATAATTATTTATTTATTTTAAAATTGAAATTATTATATATATTAAACTAAATAAATTCACAATTTACCGAAAACTCATTTTTAAAATTGAGGGGAAGGGTGGGTGTGGATTCCATGGTATGACTATTGGAGTGCTCTACTCGACATATAGAAAAAAGTGGATGATAGTTAAAAATATTAAGATTTAACAGTTATATGGAATTTTTACTTTATTTATATCTTGAAGACCTGCAGATGTTAAATATTTAGGGTCGGTTCGAATTTGAAAATATTTTTACCTTCAAACCCGGAACAGATTAAAATGTTAAATCTGGCCGGATTTTTTTTGAAAAATTTTTTGGGCACCGACCGGATATTTTTAGATCTGTTCGTAATTATTAAAATCTTGCAAATTCTTTATATACCCGGTGGTTCAAAAAAAACGACTCTCTCTTTATAAAACATATAATTTAAAAAATTTATGAAACTTAACATCTTCTACATTTTTTTAGAATTCCATTTTGATAAGAAATAACCCCAAAAGTAGCGTTTTAAATTACCTAACTTTGACAATCTCGATTGTGGCTTAGTCAAGCTTTTAGCCATGAATAATTGAATTAAGCCTCTAAGTTGAGTCTCAACTTGAAGATTGATTGGAATATTTTTGATTTAAAACATGGCTAAAAGTGCTTTATAATTGCCTAAAGATAGGTAGTTTAACAACACTACCCAAAAGACCCTCAATATTTTTTTCTTCAAAAATGGGATAGATGGGTTCTATATTAGACTATAGCAGGGCAATCGCCTATGGTAAACAAATCTGATCATTAAATGCGGTTTGGTTAACACCCCAAATAAGTGCTGCTAAATGGCTCAATTTTAAATTTAGACTTTAGCCCAAATAATATTATAGATCTTCAAAGCTTTCTGCCATCTATGAGCCTAATCTCCAGGCTTGCTTAATATTTTTGGATAATATATTGAGTTAGTTTTAAAAAAATCTAGCCGTTTATCAACACTAACCAAAAAGGGCCAAATGATAAAATTTTATAAATTTATCATCAAAAAATCATATACTGACAAAATTGTGCCGCTAGGGAAAAAAAATTGAAATGCACCAAGATTGATTCTTGGATTTACCAGGAAAAATGGTATTGACACTATATACCCCAGATTATCATCCACGGTATTATCAAGTGTCAAACCAATTAAAGTCTTTAATTAAATTTTTTTTAAAAAACCTTGATAGAAAATTCGTGAAATATGGCCCTTAATTTTGCAAGGAAAAATATAATTAAGTTAACTATACCAATGGAAAAGGGAAATTGTCAGCTGTTCGTTATAAAAGACAAATAAGAACCGATCCCAATTTTATATATTTTGAGAATTTATTGTAATTTAAATAAAAATTTTAATGTATGCTTGAGTGACGATATTTAAATTTGTGAAACATTTTGAAAATTAAAGGCGAGCGTCCAGCTATAGTCCAACATATTGGGAGCCCATCTATCCCGTTTTTTTTAAAAAATAACTGGGGTCAAAATATTTAATATCTTCACACGATTTTCTCAAGTGATGCGGAAATTATCTATAGCGAAATCACCGCTGATTTATCACAAGCTATGATATTTTTTGAAACCTATATTTCACGATTTCATTATTTTCCTCAGTATTTGCTTTTAAAAATTACGCAGCGATTAATTTCGCATCGCTTGAGTAAATCGCACTTAATATAAATGAAGCGTAACTCCCTTTTAGAGTAATAAAGATTTTAAAATGCAACCTTTCATGGCATTTCAAGTAATTGAAATTATCTCTTTTTTGTCAATGAATATATTTTTGAAAACTTATTTTTTGCTATTAGGGAGGGGTGTCAAATAAGAATAGGTTTTAATAATATTGAACCTAGTGTTGTTAAACGGCTCGTTTTGAGCCGATTTTTAAAAAGGGCTAACTCAATATTTTATCCAGAAAAATATTACGCAAGCCTGAAGATTTTGCTCATCGAAGGAGCAAAGGTTTAGACATATATTATCAAAATCTCGAGGCTTAAGCAATATTTTTCTGGCTAAAATATTGAGTTAGCCGTTTTGAAAAATCGAAACGAGCCGTTTAACAACACTAATTGAACCCCAAAATTTATCCTTTTTTGGCTTAATAATTGGTAGCAAAAATAATCATTTAAACAACTTTTAAAAGTCGATTTTAATAAAAAAACATATGGTAAAGCACTCCAACAATCAAGCAAGCTCGTTTTAAAGGTAGAAAGAAAGAATTATAAAATTTATATTTCTTTCTTTCTTTAAACTTTATTATATTTTAGTTTGAACCTTTTATCAGCGAGACCCAATGTTTCCATGAAAAGTCACACCTCTTCTATTAACGACAAGTATAATAATTACGAGAAAATGATAAATAACAATGCGCTAGTAACATTAAGAAATGAAAACAGGTCGAATAATTGCGTTACCAACGAATATAAAAGTAATTTTTATAAAAAAATCAATTTTTTTTTCTTTTCAAAATAAATTCGATTTAATCCTATTTTATAATTTCATCACTTAAAAAACATTGGCCACTATTTCGAATTTTAGCCAATCAGGAAAACCTTATGGAAATAAGAAGTAACCAAAAAAATCATCCAAATTATATGAGCTCACGCATAGAATATATTTTTTACCCTCTTAGGCCATTTCCAAAAAAAACGTTTAAGCGGGTTTTGAGGTATTTCAGTAAAAAATATTTAAAAAAATAATTCTAATCCCCATTTAATCACAAATATAAAGCAAACTGATTGATTTTTTACTAACAATTAAATGCCGCCTTAATGGGTATCCATATACTATATAAAAAAATTAATTCGACAACTCGGGAGCAGAAAACCAGCGCAACCAGAGTTAGTCGAAAGTATAGAGAACAAGCTTAAATGAGCCAACAAAGCAGCCGCCGACTGGGGAGAGTTCCTAGAGCTGATAAAAATATTGTCATTTTTTTTACTAGTTTTTATTTATCGATTTTACTCTGTGTTGCTGTAAAAGAATCTCTAATTTTTTATACCTTTATAGGAACTAAAAAAAATTGCTGATAACATTATCTAAAACCATTTTGGAAAAACGTACTGTCTAGAAATAGCCTTAGTGTCTTCCGCTAATCAAGAGTGTCAACTTTGAACTCACCTAAATTCTTAATACATTTAAAAAATATGTATTTATTTAAAAGGGAACATCAATGATCCGATAAGAAATAAAATCAGCTCAAGTTTCGTAATCAAAGTTTAAAAAATAATAATATTTGATATGTTAAATATTATATGTGGCAATGGCAAGTTATAATTTACATGAATTGTTTACCATATTAATATATATTCCAAATCGAGTTTTCTAGAGAAGATTTCTTAAACATTTATATTTAGAGATTTAAAAAAAATATAATGAACCCTCAATCATAGCGATTTAGAACTAAATCCCAAAAATTTTGACCTAATCTAGGGTCTTTGTTATATATTTGAATTAGACCAGTAAGCCGAATAAACTTACAACGTTTTACAATGAGATTGGGAGGTGTGGATCCCAAAAATATTTCCATGATTTGGGTCAAAATTTTGGATCTTTTCTCATTTAAATTGCAAAAAATATGTTCAATTAAGATTAATTTAAATTTTTTTTTTATATTGTATTGTCTCAAATATAAAAAATTGTATTAAGTTTAGATTTTATTAACCATTAAATTCTAAAGTGGGATCTGACGGCAGAATTTTCTTGAAAACTTCTCCATTTAGAAAAATACTTAATAAGCTACTAACAATATTTAGAAATTAAAACTAATGTTATTTTATAATATAACCCAAGTCATTAAAAATTAGAGGTTACGTTAACGCAGATTTTTTTTTAAAATTGCTAAAAATATATTTTTTTTATTATAATTTTTTAGATGCCTCAGATCATAAATTTCCCTACCTACAAAAAATAGTCGACATCTGAAATAGAAAACACTTGTAGTTTTAATAGCTATATTTTATAATCACAATGTTTTGTTTTTAATAAATCACAAAACTATGAATATCTCTATAAAATATATATTATTCATTTAAAAAATATTTATTGACATTTAAAAAAAAATAATTAGTTTTAGCGAATTCAAACCCACCGAAAAAAATGAATAATAATATTGAGATTAATAAATTAGATTTGATTAGTTTTCATGTTAACATTTTATAGTTATATATTTTTTTGCCGCGTTTTCATGACTATAATATAAAAATAATAATTTTAGTGAAATAAATATAAAAAATTTTCTAAATGAATGATTTTAAAGATTAAAGTTAGCGAAATTTTAAAGTATTAAAGAAAAATCTTGAAACAGCAATCAAGAGGGAATGATCAATTTAACTAACGGACATAAACTTTATGAGAGTTTAGATTCAAATTCAAATATAAAAAAAAACTTTAAAATATAAATACGCAGGTATAATCTAAAAATAAATATATAAACCATTTGTATTCATTTGAGACCGAGTTATATTTAAAAAATCGTTTTAAAACGGCTAAGAAAAGACAATTTTTTTTAACATTCGCTATAAAAGAAAGTCAATCAATAAAAAAAACATTAATGAAAAAAGGGGATAATTTAAAATTCCCTGATAATCACGCGTTCATGATCTTTTTCTTCTCTTTCTGCGATCCACTCTTATTGACAGTCATAGCCTTGGACGATATAACTTTATTAGCATTTTCGGCACTCAGAGAAGGATTGGACGATATATTGATATCAATCGGTTGACTATTGCTGCCGATGTGACAATGAAAAGAAACGGGTAAAATGTATTGGATGTAAGGTATTTCGATGTCCACCCCGGAAGAATCGTTGCAACATAGTTCGAATATGAGGGCCTTCACCCAGGGGTCTATCTTTTTTTTGCTTATTTTCCGGACAAGTTCTGTCATTCTAATAAGTAAAAATATAGTTAAAAAAATATGAGATCAGAGAAAACAAATATTCTAAGATTATGATATAAACTAATTAGAATTCCCCATCAATTTGTAAAGTCGCATCATATGGATATTATTAGTTTAAAGATTTACAAAAGCTCACATCTAGGAAATAATATTAAAAAAACAGATTTGAATAACTTCGCAAATACTTGCAACAATCAACATAAAATCTATTTTTCATAATAAAGTCTATAACATTACTAATGCTTTAAAAATATACTCAAATCCATAAATTCTATGATATATAAAATTTTGGTCATTTTGAAATTTATATGGGAATAATCGCCCTGTCAAACTACTCGCAGGTAGGTGGTGATATTATACTTAAATTAATTAAATGCAACTAAATCAAATGTCTAAAAAATTGATTATTTAGATATTTTGTATATTAAAATAGATCTAGTACTATAAGAAGCAGTTAAAAGATTGTGGATCAATTTAATTCATAGTGAAAAAATTAATATACATACCTTATGGAATATTAAACAAATATTTCGATAATTTAATAATTATAAAATGGATTGGTGCATTAAAACGAGTGGTAAATGAAGGAAAATTATTTATTTTATATTGGTCGAAAAGTTAAAACTAGTTTAACCTCATTTATAAAGGTTATTTTTACTCCTTTTAAAAATTATTATATCGGTTCACTCCAGGTCCCTTATATTATGTAAGTAAAAATTATATTTATAATAAATAACAAGTCAATATTTGTAATGTTCTTTATAAATAAAATATAATTTCGAATCCCTCAACAAATACTAAGTTAGAAACCCTGAAATTCCTGTTTCTCAACTTCATAGGATTTTCCATAATTTTTTCAAATATAAAAATTGAAATATCAACAAATATTTAGTATGATTTGGAATTTGAATAAATTTGGCTCAAACTATTTCTAAGTTTAAATAAAGCATTAATGAAGAAAATACTCTTTCCCCAGAAATTGACAAGTAATGAAATCTAAACCTGAATAATTGTTTTATATTTGTCCTGCATGCGAAATCCTGACACTTAAATGACCAAAATCTTGATTTAATTGCTTTTCTAAAATAGGCTAAATCTAGGTTTTTTAACAATACTAGTCCTGAGTTAAATTCTCCTGTGACAATCACTATTCAGGTCGACTCATTTATTTATAAATGCCATCTAAAATTTTATGAGTCAAATCTTGTTTGTAACTTTATTAAAATTGATAAGATGGTTACGATATAATAATTTTTTCATATTTCATTAAGCTGTCGGTTTCATTAATTGTTAAGTTAAGATAGATATTCAAATTTTAAACTATAAAATTGTTTAAAATAAATTATGGCCCTAATATTGTATAATTACATAATTATAGTATCTTCTAGAAATAAAATAAAATGATAATTTTTTAATCCAAGATCCGTGAAAAGAATGATAAACATAGGATGGAAAATCCTATGAGGTTGGGAAATAGGGTTTCAGAATTTCTATCTGCAATATTTGTCGAGGGATGTGCGATCCGTTTTTGTAATTGTTGGTTAAAAAAAAGTTTCAGCATAAAAAGTTATAAAGATTAAGATTATCATAAAATATGAGTCAAAAAAGATAAATTAACAATTTTAGTTTTGCAAAAAAAAGTGTTAAAAGTTACTTCATGGTTAGCCGCTCCTTCTTTTTCTCGGGTGAAGTGAAAAAGGAATAAAGCATAGACACACCGTGAGATAGCATCGTAATTTCTAATTTGTAATTTACCTGTAAACAAAAAATATGCATATTTTATAACAACACATAACAATCAAGATAAATAAATGAGACACACATTTAATTTTTTTTTTTAAATCAGCAGCACAAAAATGAGATTTATTATGCCTTTATATCCAATATATTTGCTTTTTGGATATTATTTCTAATAAATATTAAGAATTGAATTCGCTATTTGTTTTGAATAGTCCGTTATTCACATTCGGCTAACACATTATGAATATGAAGAATACATTATTTAGTGACAGAAACATTTAATCGATGACTATGAAATATTCGTTTGAAAGAATTGGATAAATCTAAATCTTCCTTTTTTAAATTTAGATGCGTAAAAATGTAAGGCTATTATTTTTTGAAAAAAAATAAATAATTTACCAAGAAATATTTCAAAAAATTTTCGAGTGTTATGTCCCCTTGAACTTCAATTCTGTCCCATAGCGTAAATTCTGTATCGTAATACTAAAAAAAATGAAATGATCAAATAAATCTCATATAATATTTAACTTTCATTTTTGGTGGAGCTAAAGGTTCCGAAAATTCCATATAAGGTAAGGCCAGGTTAAAAAATCCGTTTTTATAATCCTCTAGTTTCGTTTTCCCTTGAACTATCTGTTAAAATTGATTAGGTAAATAATTAATTTCCTTTGATCATTCCATTCATAGTTGAGTGTTAAAATAAATTTAATTTTTGAATAATATAAAATTTACAAAATTATCAAAATTCCTGGACAAATAAATATTTTTTTTTAAGAGTTTAAAAATTACTTTGTATAATTCAAGGCATACTAAACCAGCTACAACTGCGGTGGATGTGGCGATGGCCGGAATTATTTTACCAGCTATAAGTTTGCTCTGATTTATGAATAATTATTATAAATAAATTGCTATTTATATACAGAGTAATTTGTTGTGAAAGTATTAAAATTCCTTAAACTTCAATATCTAAAGTACATTTTAATAAGGCATATCAACTGATAGAAAATATAAATAAGATAAATTAAAAGTAATTGATAAACATGCAAGATTTAAACTAAATCTGAAAGTTAAACCTTTAATCTATTAGCGGGGGCAATACCGTAATTAGCGGCCCTTAGATTGGAAGCGGCGACTATGAAATCCATATGATGGTTAGAGTCGTTGTCTTTTTCAAAATCTATAGGATGCTGGGTTAACCCGAGGGAGCTCAATATTTGGGGAGTAGGAAGACTGTTTTTTAGTGCTTCTAGGGCTTTTGAAAATAAATCATGTTTAAAAATACAGATGTAAAAAAAATATTTCGAGGTGATGACCCTAACCCATGAGTTTCTAAACATTTTAAATAAATATTCTCTAATAATCTGAGAACATAATCCAAAAATTTTCATTAGTCAATTCGCTCTAATAACAAGGTAATAATTCTAAAATAGTAACAAAAAAATTACTATGATCCAAATCTTATTGTTTATATAATTTAGTTATACTAGCGGTGGTCGCGTCCATTGTGTTATATCCTTGATTACCTGCGGCCGCGTCGGCGTCGTTAGTGGAAATTTTTACGCCCGATTTAGGTGAAAATTCGGGGAGAGAAACTTGATCGGCTAAGGTGGCTATGTTGGAAGCGTGTGGCTTGAATGGTACGCCGTAGTTAAAGCAGCGTAAGGCGGTGGCCGCCTTGACGAATTCTAAATGAGTGGGCTGAATTATGATAGGGGAAGGGAAGAAAATAAAAAAAAATTTATGCATTTATGATGGCTTATTTGGAAATTATAAAGAAGGTAATATAATCATTAGATTGTATTAATAGCTGAAATATTCAAGAAATAATTACTTATGAGGGCACCGATATTGTTAATATCAAGTGGTATCTATCTAAACGTTTGCTTCATCGAAACTACTACCAAGTCAAATTAAGTTTACTTTTTTCCCAGATTGCTATTTAATTATTCTTATAAATTCTTAAACTTTTTCATATAATCAGATAATGGGTGCATTCCATTTACAATCTACCAAAAAAAATTATTTTCGGAAAATTTAGATTTTTAATAAATTTAGTAAACAAACTAGGGGTTCTTGTAACGTATATTTGGGCAAAATTTCAGCCTCCCGGCTGTTATACTTTAGAATTACAAGGAAGAAAATGGAATATTGGGGGGGGGGGAGGGGGAGGAATGATTAATGGTGTAGGGTGCAAAGTTGGAAAGGAAATTTGGATCGGAAAAATGCAAACCAATTCTCATAAAAATAATAAGATTTTTATGCGAGCCTTGAAACAAAATATACTCTTTTTTTACAAGGGAAATTTATTTTAAAAGCTAATATATTTTGTGAGTCCCATATTCAAATTTAAACATTCAAAGCACTTAATGACAACCTTCACAAGGTAAAAATAAGTATTATAAGATATAAATATCCCATTCACTCCTGGCATATAAACTATGATATTAAATAATTATATAATCATAAAAAATATATAATATATGAATTTTTTTATATATAAGAATTTTATAAAAATTTATTATAACAATATTTAGCTAAATCATATGGCGAATCAAATTTTTTTACCCAAATTAAAAAAATTAAGCTATGATTGGTTAATCGACTTTATTTACATTTTTATTAAAGTATCCAATATGATATTTCAGATCTTTTAATGTTGCGTTAATGTGTTACTTTCAACTTTAAATCACATTTTGAGCGCGTTTTTTTATAAATTTAAAAATCTGATTTTACCGAAAATGTATTCCATCATGTTTGAAATACTTACACTATAAATTTCAGACAATTTGCCACATTAACTTTTGAATTTTATAAAATTTATATTAGATTTTCCATAAATTTTTTATAAAATTTATATTAGATTTTCCATAAATTTTAAATACAAATTATAAATGACTTCAAAGGTTAACAATAAAATTGTCAATTCATGAGATAGGTATTCCAAACATGATGAAATGTATTTCCGGTAAAATCAGATCTTTAAATTTAAAAAAACGCGCTCAAAAAAAATGATTTAAAGTTGAAAAAATAACATATTTGAAGCTAACATATACATTTTATGCTATAGATTTTAATATTCAGCAAGAGATTCGAAAGATGATGAAGTTAATCTTCCTTTGCCATTTCTTCGACGAAAGGTATATACTACAGAGTTAATTTATGTGTATATAAGATTGATCTATTATATTTTATTTCTCGATTCGCGGATATGTCAAAGCGCGAGGATGTTAAGCATATTCCAAACACTTGTCATTAGAATATTTTGACAAAATATTTTAGGGAACTAATTTATCAAACTATAAAGGCATATAACTAATATTCGAATAAATACGACAAGAGGCATTTTTTTAGATTTTATGATAAAGGAAGGAAAGTTCTACTGAATATATTCTACACCCAACTCTTGATAAAATCGAGTAGAATAGTTTGTATGTGATACTCCACTTAATACTTCCATATATTTCGAGAGATATTTCAATAGTTAACAATGAATGCCTTAAGAAACGTCAGGACCTGGCCTGTTAAAGGTAAATCGACTTTTTACGGAAGTAGTATTCTCAAATGACCTATCTCTGAGTAAGGAGGGACGCGGTTCAATCGATGTAATGTCAGACAGTGACATCTGCATCACCAAATGGTTCGATAATAGACCAGTATACATGACCTCTAATATTTATCAATCAGAACCAATTGATTTTGTCGGGGATGGTCAAAAAAAGTTATATTATGGTACGTTCATATTGTATCTTGAAATAAGATAAAAATATGGTTGGAGTTGATAATTTAAATAGAGTAATTTCAAATTATTAAAAAAAATGGACCAGTTTTTAGGCACGCGTTCCGAAACTCAAATTTATTGGCTAAAACAGGAAAGCAAAAAAAGTCTTTGCTTCGGATCCTCAAAAAATATTTCATTTTGACAAAAAATTCTAAAAAAGATCTTGAAGGGATCGAAGTTCGAAACCCAGACCCGAATTGTCATTTAAATTTATATTAATCTTTCTGTACGCTTAAAATAAACATTAAACGCCAGATAAAAAAGTTTTATAGGTAACGTCTAAAGTGGTAAAGGAGTCGCTGATAATGAGTTTATATTCTAGTAGGATGTTATGAGAATCAATACATTAAAAAAATATATGAAATAATGGCCTTACATTTGTGGAATCGAATTTGATAAATCTAGGGCATCGTTTGGGCCCAGACCAAAATGGCGCACCTGAACTAGTGATCTAGAGTTTAAAATATTAAAAATTTATATGATGGGTAAACTTTATTGATCTCAAATATTTAGATAAACTAAAAAAAACAGTACAAAAAAAGGAGCGCTGACATTTTAAGATCCCAAGATTTTATTTATCGAGATTTAAAAAAAACTTCGTAAAAAAAATTAATGTGTCTTTCTTTTTAAACAGTTCAAATTAAAAAATTAAGACCTATTTTTAAAAATATAATTTCGGATGGGGCATAGGACATATGACAAAAAATTATTAGGTTGTTGTTGTTGTATCTGTCGATTTGTAATTTGACATTTATGGACGTTATTAAATAAATTATTTTCTAAAAGAAAAAGATGAACTATTAATTTTCTTTCTTTGATTTTTAAAACAGTTATATTGTCCGGAAAAAAAACTTCTTTCCTTTTCAGGTCTAACCTTTAAAAAAATATAGATCCGACGCAGGGTTATAGTAAACAATGGTGCAGGTCGAATTAGAAGAATCATTTTTTTATTAATAAGAGGTCTCTAAGGAAAAGCGAAATTCAGCCAATGAAAACAGGGGAACTATCCAAGAAATTACTATAACGTAAATATGATTACTTGATCGGGTGGGAAATTAAATAGAAGTTGTTGTATATTGTTATTAAATAACTCATCGAATCTTTTACGAGCCCATAAAACGGCATCTTGTACCGAGGTACATTTTTCGTCCATCAAACCATATTTAATGGTCAGTAATGTTTCCATCTATATATTAGATAAAAAAAATAATATAATTTATACATAATTATGGATGTAATTTGTTATGATTAAAAAAAATTTGAAGGTTTAAATATGATCTTAATGGATTTTAATCGCGAAATTTACGTTTTGGTTGAGATTAGTCCCTTGTCCTCCGCCACTATTTAAAATTCCCGTCAGGTTACTCTGATTATTTGGATTGTTTTGGTTATTGCTATTGCCCACTGGATTTACGAGTGAATTATTGGCTATGTATTGCTGAACCGTGGCCGGTCCTTGTTTGAAATAACCTTAATAAATTAAAATAAGCCTTAATTTAAAAAAAAAACCCATTTTTTACATACTCAAATACCGACTTAAAAGGACTTTTTTTTAAAAAAAAAATTAAATTTTAACCTTCGAATAAATCTCTAGCCCATTGCAAACAGTGTTCAATTTGGTTGGGAAAATTTTTGAGGGTGCATATTGGTATTGACTTTTCTGGCGGGTCGTGATTTCTTTCTTTCTTTCTTTCTTTCTTAAGAGAAGAGAAGAGAAGAGAAGAGAAAAAGAAAGAAAGAAAGAAAGAAAGAAAGAAAGAAAGAAAGAAAGAAAGAAAGAAAGAAAGAAAGAAAGAAAGAAAGAAAGAAAGAAAGAAAGAAAGAAAGAAAGAAAGAAAGAAAGAAAGAAAGAAAGAAAGAAAGAAAGAAAGAAAGAAAGAAAGAAAGAAAGAAAGAAAGAAAGAAAGAAAGAAAGAAAGAAAGAAAGAAAGAAAGAAAGAAAGAAAGAAAGAAAGAAAGAAAGAAAGAAAGAAAGAAAGAAAGAAAGAAAGAAAGAAAGAAAGTTTTTTACATACTCAAATACCGACTTAAAAGGACTTTTTTTTAAAAAAAAAATTAAATTTTAACCTTCGAATAAATCTCTAGCCCATTGCAAACAGTGTTCAATTTGGTTGGGAAAATTTTTGAGGGTGCATATTGGTATTGACTTTTCTGGCGGGTCGTGAGAGGAAGAATAACTTTCGGTTAAGTCAGGAAGAATTACCTTTTTATTTTCGTACGGGATTATTATTCATGAAAAGGAAGAATAAGGATTAAAAGAATACAAAAACTTCATATCAGTAGGTATTATACAATCTTAACAGCTGATCGAGAGAATACATTTTTTTGGGCATACAAAATAATGTGTAAAAATTATATTATGAGCTAATTAAAAAAAATACTAGCTTGATTACTAGGAGATAGCAAATGTTAAAACTTAATTTTTCATGCGATTTTCTCCATATCAAATGCCCAATTCGATTTTCTCATAGCGCTAATCCCCCCTCCCCACCCTTCCCAATGAACTTGAAAGATAAAATTATTGATAATAATTAATAATGTGCTAGAAAATAAAACTTGAGTATTTCCTTTTGTGCCTAATGTACCAGACTCCAAAAGTGGTTTTCTGTAGTATACGCATCTTCTATCCATGTAAATCCCTTCGTTGTTGAATATTATTTTATTTTAAAAAAAAATTAAATGTTATATGTATTTCAACCTTCGAAAGTATGAGTGAGGCTATTCCAGACTTTTAATAAAATACGTTTCCTACTTAAAATCCAACAGATATTTTGATCTAGATCTTTAGAAACAGTTTACGCATTTTAGGCAAAGTATAATCTGTGCAAGATCATTTTGAATTTATCCCGATAGTTTATGAGTTATAATGTCTAGAAATATAAAAAACCCAAAACAAAACGACGAAAAAAAAGCAAAACAATTTTTAAACAATTTTAAAAATTAAAAAAATAAGGATTTAAAAAAATGAATCATTTTTAAAATGATTGTAAAGGGTAAAATAGTTGCTATATTTTCTATAAGAATCTTCAGTTGAAAGGTTGCTCTTGCTCAGTTTGGGCACAATGTTAAACACTCAGAAAATGCAAAGGCTTAATGATAAAATATTTTTAAAAAAATTAATAAAATAAAACTAACAGTTAAATATTTATATATAAAAATAAATGAATCTATTCTTTGATTCCATACTTTATGTTATGTTCTTCATAAATAATTTCTTTTAAAAATATGTTATTTTATACACTTAACTAATCTAATTTAATAGGTAATAATCATTTTATAAAAAGTAAATTTATTGTATTTAAGATACTATTACATAGCAAAAGATACAAGTTTTTTAAAATCTTGAATCTTTTAGAATATTTTTAATAATATTCTTTTTTTACAAAGTTTCTTGCCCAACTGTGATAAAATCTTCTTTTGGAATCAAATCACAATGAAAAATATTAAAGTAGAAATTGTCAAACAATCTCCTAAAAAAGTGTTGTTAAATCGGGTTGGCAAAAATCATGATTTAAAAATTCAAATTATCTTGCAAGTAAAGACTTTAAAAAGTCAGGAAATGTTGAAAAATTAAATAATGATATGTTGTAATTCGATATTTTTTTCAAATAAAAATGCCAAATGAAATTTAATTTTCTTCAAATTAAAATTAGCTATTGTTATTTCTCGACCGATTAAGAATTAGCCCAATTTAAAATTCTTATGGTTGAAAGAATTTGTAGAAGTTTATCAACACCATACATGCTGATAAATCATCATTTTCTAAACGATGCAATCAAGCTTTAACTCTTGCACACTTCTGATCCTACCTTTTAAACCTGAAAGATCGTTCAAATTTAACAACCAATGAATGGAAACTACAATGGAATACTGGGGGGGGGGGTATCCAAATACTGACGTTTTGTCTAATCTTGGTAAAGTTTCAAACAAGATCTATAAATTGAAATATGGGAGTGTAGCAAAATGCAAAATTTTCACTTTTATTGGTATTAGCATAATGATAGAGGGTTAAAGGGTGGACTTTAAGAATAATAATACCATCTATTAATTATTTTAAAGTCCCTAAATTGTGTTTAAGCAATTTTATAAGACCATTTTTTATTAAAAAAAACCCATAATCTAGTTAATACTATATAATCATGTGCATTTTTTTAAAATATTTTTCCCTATTTGTACAGGGAATGGCGTTATAATAATTTTCTGGGTAAGTTTCTTATCGACAGGATCAACAGAAAATTAGATCCAAAAACAAATAAAATGTTTAAAATAATCAACAACCAAAAAAAAATAGTACTAACTCGCATCCACGTTATCCAAAGCGTTCACTACGATGGTGAGCGATTTGAAAAAATCGTCATCGTAAACTTTTTCCGTCTCCGGCCCGACCCTGTTTTCGTGAGGTTTCAGGTTGAAATTGGAATTCATTAATTTGGCGGCGGCACAAGCCACCTCACTTTTCAAGCGCTAGAAAACATGGTATATATATGAATAAATTATAAAAAATTCCACTTTTTATTACCCCGCTCCCCCCATCGCAATTATCTAAAACTTATTACAACTAGTTTTAATAACAAGGATAGGGCAGTAACAAGGTTTGTAGCTTTGCATTCAACGTAAACGATAAAAACTTATACATTTTTACAGCTTATTTATGTCAAGCAATAGCCACAAGTTAGTACAAACAATTTGGACTGAAATTTCTCAATTTCAGGCATCATAATTTACAAGGCTATTTTATTTGAGGTCTAAAATATACAGTTTTTTTAAAACTAAAATGCTTACCCGCTTATGTTTTTCACCAGCCTTCATATTTATAAACATCGTCGATGAAAATTTTTTTTGATTTGCATCTTTATTTATTCAATTTTTAAACCGATAAAATAAAGAATATCGTGATAAAGGAATAAATCTTATAAATATAAGTTTGCTTAATTAGCCCTAAAAATATTAAAATTAACTTCCTCTCTCGCTCCCCGCTTAAAATATTATAAAAAAATTTAACCATCCCATTACCTAGCATTACCACTAATTCTTACATGGCCAAAGATGGGTTAGTTATCTACCCATTAAAAAAATGTAACTTATAGCTAAAAATTTGCTATTTTTCTACCCAAAAATTAAGGTGATATGGTATAATGCACTTACATTGACATCCCAAGGCCGAAATAGAAACTGCCGATTTAAGTTTGATTTTTCTATTATGTCCATGTCCGTTATCACGAGGCCTCCTTTGGCTGTCAGAGGATTGGGATTGATTTTATCGGGACAGGCCAAACCTATCATCGCGAACAATTTCAGCAGTTCGCAGCCTATGGCGCCAGCTCCGACCTTTGATAACGATTAAATTAAAAAAAAATCCTATTAATTTATATAAGTTGAAAATGCTAATTTAAATTTAACAAATATGGTAGCACTTGTCGTTAAAATGTCAGTAAAAGTTTGAAATAAAATTCTGTAAAGTATAATTTATTTTTTTTAAAAAATTTTGTCACCAAAAAGCATTTTTGAGCAGCTAGTTTATCTTGAAATTCTTTACCAAATATAATCATCTGGCTATGGTATCGAGCGTAATTTCCCTAATTATATATTATTTTTCACAATTAAAAATAATTAAATAATAATATAATCAGCTGGCTAATTAAGATGGGATCCATTCTGACTATTTAACAATCTGAAAATCTGCATTGGAGATAGTTTAGAAACCAAATTGAATTCCCAACCAATTTTGACGGATAAAAACTAAATTCCAATGCGGTTTCTAAGCTCGATCTGGGATCTAAATACAGTCGACAAACTTCCTTTTTTTTTAATTTTCGGATCGTGGAGTGGTTCTGTCTTGATCAACCCTAACTAATGCAGCCTACCAAGGACTATTAAGTCTCGGCTTGGTCTCAATTCGTTGCTGAAGTAAAATTATAAACAGCTCAATTTGAGTTGATTTTTAAAAACGGCTAACTCAATATTTTACAGAGAAAAATATTATTCAAGCCTGAAGATTTTTCTCATAGATGGCACAAAGGTCTAGATATCTATTAGCAAAATCTTGAGCCTTTAAGCAATATTTTTGTGGCTAAAATATGAGTTAGACGTTTTTAAAAATCGGCTCAAATAGAGCCTAGCAGGCCCACAACAAATACAATTAATATTTTTCTTATATATCCGGCAAAGATGTACCAATTTTATAATATCGGAACTACCTAAAGATTTATATTTAAAAATGCTTGGCCAATGTGATTCATGGTATTAAAAAAAATTGGGTAAGATAATATCGGTAATCGATTGATATCAACTTTATATTGACGGTATAGAATAAGATCAGCCAGCCTCGTAAAATCTGTATAAGTTTTTAAAAAAATCTGTACTAATACATTTAAAATATTTAGTAAACATTTTTTTTACATAATACATCCTTTGCCACACAATAGGCTAGACATAGAGAGTCGATTAATATATAGAGCCTTTTGATAAGAATTCTTAATATGATTTCAAGTTAACTTAAAGAGGTTAGCGATAAGATGGTTTTTGTTTTTTCATTTTAAGTATATTGCAGTTAAATTGTGTTAAACCTTATTCTGGTAATAAATAAAACTTGATAAATGTAATTCAAAGGTTAAACGATAATTATTCAATAATAAAATTTTTAATGGCATTCATTTAAATTAGTAATTCACAAAATCGAAGGGGGGGGGGGGGAATAAAATGAAGATTTAATAGAATTGAACGAATTCGCCGTTTACTTTAGTGACATATAAAATTAAAATCACCTGATCATTGAGCATATTGGAAGGCATGGTATCCATTTCAGCGTTTAAACATTCGAAGGCGTCGAAATAAAACCACTGGAAAATGGGATTGAATTTTCCGCTACACGCCTAGTTATTATATTTAAGTGTAGTTAATACATAAGGGTTTAAAGAAATCTTAAAAACTAAATCATTTATCACGTGTTTTATTTTTATTTTGAAAGACGTGATTTTGTCAAAAATCGTATCCCAACCCATCCTGAAAAATATAACAAGACATTTTGCCATGAACTTTTGAACCGGAAATAAACAAAAATTTATGGCGAAATTACTTGAAATTCACAAGGTCAATAAATCTGCATTAAGCGCTTTAACATTAACACCCGCCAGCTATTATTTAAAAAAATTTAACCCGCTCGCCCGCCTAACACGGAGAAATTATTAAAAACGCGTGCCATATGTTATTTTAATTTGCTATAAAAAACTTGGGAATTATTGTAACAACGCAAATAACATTTACCTTCATGACTTCTTGGGCCGTTATCCCGCCTATCACACTATTGATAGGGCACAACTGGCCTCTCGCCGTATCACAGAATAACTTCAAAACTTTGGTCTCATTTTCGTCAAGTTTGGCATTTTTTTGATCATCTTTGGGTGTTTTTATAACCTTAGCCATGTCCAGGAATAAGTTGTTCTCTTCCTATTACAAACGAGTTAAGTTAAATATATAAATATAATTGTCATTAACCGACCAAATAGGCTTAATTGACCGAATGTATATCTGACGGGTCAAATATTCGATTTTGCCGATTTTTTAAAAAACAGCTCTACTCAAAAAATGCCTAATTTGGTTATGAGAACTAAATTGCGAAATTTAGAGAATGGCTAAAATCCTGAGATTTTCGACTGCGATTTTGATAGAATAAGATAACATTATTCAATAGTTGTACTATGTGTGCCTGGTCTTAGTGAATGTGCCCTAATATATCTGATCACTAATCCTTAAAAAAAAGCAAATAACAAAAAAAAATACACTAATATTTCAAGTAAATATGACGAAGAATTGTCAATAACAGCCATTTACTCAAATTAAGGAACCGCATTTTTAAAAAAAATAAGGACATCTGACCTTTCGATTAGTATCAATTCATAATAAACTCTGGCCAATCTAAAATCGGAAAGAAAACAAACTAGTAAAAAAATATGTTAAGCAAAAAAGCTGGTGCCAATAAAAATCTTAAGAAGAAATGTTTGCAAGGGTTGGTTGCCTTCACAAGAAATTCACTTCATATCAGTGAAAATCCTTATACTAATAAAGAGTTAAAAGAATACATCCCATTAGAGAGCTCTCTTAGATAAAGTTGTTGAATATATTTTCGATTGTGGGAATGATCTATAAACTAAACATTAAATCATCGGCATTAAACTGGTGGAAGGGAATTTTCGCAAGTGATATATGATGGAGTAACACTTGAATAATAACTCAGTTGAATTCGGGGAAAAAATTTTTGTTAACAAACCATTTTCTAGAATAAATCCCTCAAAAATATCAGTTTAAATTATATAAATTCATTTTAATAAAATATTTTAATATACTATTATAATATAAAATAAATTATTAACTATCTGGTAGAACTAACATTCTAATAAAACTAAAAATGGGCCCAAAGGAAACAATGTGGTATTGGATTCAATTTCAATGTCTGACACCAAATCTAAGAAAAGAAACGGGGACATATTAACTGATGATTGAGTGTAAGATGTACGACATGTCCAACTTGGCATTATTTTAGCAGAATCAATCCGCTCAAAATTGAGCATCAGTTTCGATATTAAAACTATACAAACAATCCTCAACTAGCGGAGTTAAGGATTTTTTTATCATGTTATAATAAATATATTAGAAATCAGAAGATTCTCTAATATATAAAGAAATAGGACCCGTAAAATAGCCCATGGAAAATATGTAAATAAATAAATGTCAAAAACGAATTAAAAATTGATTCCTCGTTTTTATATATATTTATATATGTGAAATATAAAAGTAACGAACGGTGGTAGAAGGGTATCGTTGGTATTTATCGTAGAACAGGGCGAGGGTCTTGAAGGCAATGTGTAAAATGGCGGGTCTGTCAAGTTTGGCCGAGTCTGAAGAAACGAAATCGGGCTTGATAAAGGCTTGGGTGTAGGGAAGCTTTCCAAAATTAATGGTATCACATTATAATATAGATTGGAAATAGAGAATATATGAGATACTTAATATAAAACACAACATATCGTGGGTTGGTCCAATGGGTGCACGCTTTTAAAAGAAATGAGAAGATTGGCTACATTTATGAACAAAATGGTGGAAAAATATTTGCAGAACAAAATGACTTATTCTTTTTTTTGTACCTAATTTATATTAATTTTACATATACTATTTTGTTGATTTAAGGCAAAGCTAAAATATAGTTAATTAAAATTTAACCAAGTGCTTTATTAAAACCCTATTTAAGGTTATCTATCTGCAAAATTTTTAATATGTAAAAATGACACTTTAAACCAATAATTACATCGAATAATAAAGGTCAAATAACATATTGTAGATAATATTAGTAAATTTATCCATTATTAGATAATAGAAAACAAATCTAAAATGATTTTAAATAAAAATTAAAATGCTTATATTCCTTTATATTTTTTTGATTGGTTGTGACAAGAGAGAGTAGTTGCCTGATTAAGACAAAAAAATCAGGGTATGAATTTTTTAGTTTATGCCTTTACGACTAATTGTGTACTAGCTAGATTTTTATATTAAAAAAAAACAAATAAGATATAGCACTCATCTGAACCCACGATATATTTAAAACTTTTGTAAAGTAAAGCTGCATGATCCATTTGCAGTCAGCGACCTTGTTAGAAGTGATGGCCCAATATTACTAACAGATCTAAAGTCGTCTAATATCGATGTATATGAATAGATTTAAATCAAAAATATTTTTTTTAAAACAAAACTTACAAAATGCAATATTTTAGGGATCTTGACTTGAGAGGCAATACCGCCACCCGAATAATCGGCAAATTTCGACGTATCTCCGATGCTAAATGTGTAAGGTCCTATTTTTTTTTAAAAAAATTTATAAGATTCTTTAGGTAATAATACCGAATGACGTTATAATAATTATCTAGATACTGCTAATTCATTCATTTAAAATGTGTTTCAATAAGAGATCTGCAAAAGTAGGCTAGGCCCAAACGGGCTTCAGGCCTTATATTTTTAAAAAAATTTGGGCCAAGATTTAGATTTATCTATTTTATATCGAATTTTTTATGTAAAATAAAAATAAGTGATTTTATTTATAGAAAGTAGACGCCATATAACATATGGCTTTTATTTTGAGTAATTATAAAAATTAATTTCTATATTTAAAATAAAATCGGGCCGGGCCGGGTTTGAAAAATTAGGCCCGATGCAGATGATCAATTTTTGGGTACCATTTTATTCAAATAATATGGGGGGTGGGGGGGGGGGGGGAACCTAAATTTTTCCAAATGCATTTTAATAAATAAATCGTCCATCTCGGTATGTATCATGTCATTGGTACTAATAGAGGAAGGGTCAAAAGCACTCTCTTGCGAGTATAAATTTTTTTTTCATAGAAATATTTTATTTCTAACATCTATAAATTACGTAAAAAAAACTATACATTCATTTGTAAGACATCAAAAAAAATTTTTTTATATTTCGAGCATAAAATAATATAATATTTTAGCGCTTATATGTCCCATCACCAATTTAATGAACGACATTAAGGAGCTCAAAGGATCAAGTTAATATGGAGAGGATGTCATTTTGATAGGGAAAAATAAAATAAATTGGTGCAAAAATAGTTAATGTTTGTATTCATTATTAAATTAATATCATATATAAATAAATATATAATGGCAAAACTTTTATTATGAACATATTTTTTTTTATAGAAATTCTCATTAATTAAATTTTATAACAAAATTTAGCATTTTAAAAACATTTTAACCATCCAGACCGAAAAGGCCAAATTAGATTTTAAACGTATTTCACATAAGATGGCAATGCATAATAAAAATCATTTTTTCCCCCTAATTATCAAAGTTATATATATCAAATTTAATATTCAAAATTGAATTAGTTTTTAATTAAAAATCAGAAAAAGGTAAAATTGACATTCTTGCAACTTTACCACGATGGTAATATAAAAGATACTGAGTTTCGAAAATATTTCTTTTAGTAAACATTACAAAAAATGTGGGCATAAATTAATATTTTTTCCCAATATCCAACCAAACCCAACTAGTTATAATCTGCTAATAATGTTCTTATTTATAACATTTTAACGCTTTTTTTTTATAAAGTAGTTTTAATTTATGGTCATTTTGAAAAAGGTTTATAATCATATTATACAACGTGTAGCATTAACCTGAAATATATCATTTTAAACCTAGCAAAATATAAAAGGATATAAAAAAAATATAGCATCCATTTTTTTAAAAAAACTAGGCAAAAGCATGTTAATTAGGGTTAGCATTCTAACAGGATATTCAGCAAACTGTTGATATATGGTCACAGGTGGAGCCCAACTCCAAAACAGCTTGGCCAAGTTTTGGGGTCGTTAAAGGAAAGTAACAATTAAACCTTGAGGCCTAAGTATATTCGTTTTTCACTCACGCCACCCCAAGGCGGACCAAAATGATTTTGCAACGCTGCCACTAATAAATAATAATATTATACCCAAAACTTTGATAGGTCTCGGAGGACAACCGTTTAACTCGACCATCCCTCGCACTTCCGAGAAGGTGATGTGGTCGTTATCTTCGAACCCATGCCTATTCTCGTCTAGACAGGTTACGACACCAGATTCTTCCTATTATTTTTTGAAAGGGAATTATAAGCATATGGTATGGATATTATAAAATTTAAAAATGGCGTTGCTAAGGGCTTGGGGGGACATTTTTGATGCCTAAATATTCTTATTATCTGAGCAAAAATAACAGATAATTTAATTTTTTAAGATTCCAAATTATAAAAGCTACTAGCTTAGCGAAGCTAATTATCAATAATCAAATCCCACTTATTAGGAATGGATAAGAGTTTCTTCATTTTCATTCACCATTTTTGTTTGGTAAAGGTCCAAAACGGATATTTAAGTAAGAGTGGAGAATAAATGTGATTGATTAGTATTTTACATTTACGCCTCATTTAAAGGAAACGCGTTTTGTTCGAGTGGTGCGGTATTTTAACGAGCTGCGTTATTACAAAATCAAGTAAATAAATAAGTTTAATTTATAAATATGGAGCAAATAGATGAAAATGCTACAATAAAATTTTAAAAACATATGTTGGGACGTATATTTCAAAAATTATTGCTGTGATGGATCATTTGTGACGGGTTATATACCGCACCGCACGCAACATAAATGACGCATTAATTTTTTAAAAAGGAGCTCAGTATAGACGAAAGCGGTTGACCTCTAAATAGCATATATTGAGTATGTTTTAAAACGTTTTCAAAATAACTTATTCAAAAAATGGCCACCATATCTGAAGCGAGGAAAAATTAAAATTCAAAAGTAATATAGAGGCTTAAATTTTGATATTGAACTTAATGATCATAATATAATTTATAAAGATGCATTAATTAAATATAGTTATAGTTTTCACTAAGAAGTTTTGAATACTGACTTTGACTAAGAAGTTTTGTATACTGGTTTAAATTTTAGAAATTTTCTTAGAGGCTTAAATTTTGATATTGAACTTAATGATCATAATATAATTTATAAAGATGCATTAAATAAATATAGTTAGAGTTTTCACTAAGAAGTTTTGGATTGAGGTCTAAATCGCATTAATCAAAATAGCCAGAACATACTCATTTTATGTTACCACTAGTAAAATTTAAAAAATATAAATAACATAAATATATATTTAGAAAGATTAATAAATAAAATATATTTAATATATATTAAATAATTATATTAAAATATTAAATATATATTTTAATATTATATATATTTATATGCATTTATTAGATATATAATAAATAAATATACCATATATAATTTACCTATACATATATGATGTTAGTAGAATTTAGGTGTATATTATTTATTTTACATTACACCTATATACAGTGTTGTGTAGAATTGAAAATATAATTATTTAACTTGAAAATGGTTATATATTCTTAAAATTTTAGTGCATACAAATCAAAAAATATGATCAATTAATTTATCATATAATATGTCCAATGTTTGTTTTATTTAGTTAATATGTAAAAATAATTATTATCTAATTCATATTAAAAGTTGTGGGCTTAATAGATCCTTGCTTTGATACAATCAGTATTTATGGGGTGAAGCGTATTAGCTATTTACCTGTATATAAATTATAGGTTTATAAGGAGAACTTCCTTTGGGTAGCTATGAAAAAATATTTAGGGTAGAGGGTATTGTGTTTTTTATCAGTGACGAATCCATTTCCTACAAAATCTTAATATGATTTTTATATTTAAAAAAAAACTAATATGATTTAGTTAAAAAAATATATAATTTTTATAAATTTTTACTACATTAAAAAATTTACTATTACTTTCCCAATACAAATATTAAAGGATCTTATTTTGATAGGATTATTATATTTCATTTAGTTAATTTACGATTTGTTCCCAATTATTTAGTTAGAAGATATAATTATATTTAATTTTTATAATTATTTAGTTAAAATATCTATCTATTTAATCTATTAGACCTTAATTCTCATAATGTAATGTAATCCATTTAGAATTTTCTTACAATGTGAAATATTTTAATCCGCCTTCATTTACTATAGCCCTATTCAAATTAACTTCAACTCTAGATATATATCAAAGCAATATATGAAATTGTATTTTTAAATAATATAATAAAATAAATTTAACTCACTCATCATTACTTGTTTATTTAGAGTATATGGTTTTCTTTACATTAGTCTTTCAAGTACATTCTCAGCAATTATTCGTCAAATGTTCGTATATAAGTCTTAGTGCGAATTTGTAAGTTTTTCAATCCAACGAAGCACGTTCTATGAATTCCCAAAATAGATCTATGTCCGATAATGATCGATTTATTCTACCAAACCAACTATTTTTGTAGGATAGGAAAGGTTTGAGAGATGACTCATCCAAAGGGGTAATAAACAGGGCTTGATATACTAGGTTGTTTGGGGCTTGTCTGAGAATGTGTCCTAATATTTCGATTTTTCTATATTCACATAGTCTATATATAGGGAGGATGTCACATCTGGACCAAAGATTATCATTCGAAGTATTATAAGGATAGAAAGTTTTGGTTATATATCTAAGACATTTGTTAACAAAAGTTTGCATCTTTTTACTTTCTTGTTTAGTATCTTTCCAGGTTTCTATACCATAGATTAAAGAGGGGAATATTAGATTTTTAAATAATCGAATCTTTAAAGGAATTGATATTTGATTCGAACTCCATATTTTCATAAAAGATCTATATTTCAGTCTGCCTTTATTTAATTTAGCTATTAGGTCTAGTTTAATATTTCCTTTTCTATCCAGTATCACTCCTAGATATTTTAATTTTTATACTACATACCCTACTATTTACGCCTGAAATATAGCCCGATAAATTCTTTTTGACCAATATACAAACTCCACATAAGTTTTTTTTCTGTTTCGCCCGAGTTAAAGAGGAGGTAGTCTTTGCAATTTAGTTTACAAGTATCTAGTATACAAGCTATATCAACCGCTAGGGTGTCTAAAATTATTCTTAGTTGAGCAAACTTATTATTATTCAAGGATCTAGCATTTAACGATATTACTCTTAGAGAACCAAAAAAATTGTTCATTTATAAAATGTTAGTAAATTTATTTAATAATTAAAAAATTAGAAAACAATTTTTAGTAGCTAGTTTAAAACAACTTTATATAAAAGAATAAATTATTTGATGATTCATAAAACAAGATTTAGACAATATAATTTTATTAGTGTATATAAAAAATAATCAACATTTATAAATTTATTAGAGATAAAAAAAATCAATATTTTATAAATGTATTATTGTAAGAAAAAACGATAATATAATTTAAATATTGAAATATTATTAGTTTTAATATTTAAAATTTACTAAAAATGATATTTTATCTAAAAATTGAGAAATATCATTTGTTCTTTCATAAATTGTTGTTAAATTTGCAATTTTTTGATCAATTTGTTCGTATTTTCTATTTTTTCGTTGAACGGTGGATCCATTGTTTATTTGTATAATTTTTAAGTCATTATAATGTTGATGATTAATTAAAATTTTTATAAGAATATAAATATTAGGATGAGCATGCACAGTCTTTCTCTTTAAGGCATGATGGAATCCTTCTTTTGGCACTGATTCCATGTTGCGTATGGCCACAAGTTCGGACATGATCTACATGGATGGAACTTTCCATGTAGCTCCTACGTTATTTTATCAATTATATACCTTACATGTTATGTACGAAGAGGTTATGATACCCTTCGTTTATGCACTACCAGATAAAACTAGGGACACATATGTCCGTCTTTTTCAAATTATTAATAATTTTTGTTCAGAACGCCAAATATCTTTAAATCCTAGATTTGGCCAAACAGACTTTGAGGCCGCTGCTATATCAGCTCTCAAGTTTGTATTTCCCAGCATGATTGTAAAAGGTTAAATTTATGATTTTATTCTAATATAATTTTGTTTAGGTTGCTTTTCCCATTATTCACAAGCCTTATGGCGTAGATGTCAATCTCTTGGGTTGGTGAGCATGTACCTGAACCACTCCAATGTTCACAAAGTTGTGAGACGGATGACAACTTTGCCCTTTTGTAAGGAGGAAGATCTTTCTCGAGTAAGGCAAGATTGTTATATCATGGCGTCTGAAATTCCCATGCTCCTGGATTTTATGGATTATATGGATACGACATGGTTAAGCCATAATGCTATATTTCCCCATGGCATATGGACAAGGTATATAAAACATAATTAATAAATTCAAAATTTTTTCTAATCTTTTTTTAGATATGAAGTTGATGGCCCCCGTACCAATAACCATTTGGAAGGATTCCATCATGCCTTAAAGAGAAAGACTGTGCATGCTCATCCTAATATTTATATTCTTATAAAAATTTTAATTAATCATCAACATTATAATGACTTAAAAATTATACAAATAAACAATGGATCCACCGTTCAACAAAAAAATAGAAAATACGAACAAATTGATCAAAAAATTGCAAATTTAACAACAATTTATGAAAGAACAAATGATATTTCTCAATTTTTAGATAAAATATCATTTTTGGTAAATTTTAAATATTAAAACTAATAATATTTCAATATTTAAATTATATTATCGTTTTTTCTTACAATAATACATTTATAAAATATTGATTTTTTTTATCTCTAATAAATTTATAAATGTTGATTATTTTTTATATACACTAATAAAATTATATTGTCTAAATCTTATTTTATGAATCATCAAATAATTTACTCTTTTATATAAAGTTGTTTTAAACTAGCTACTAAAAATTGTTTTCTAATTTTTTAATTATTAAATAAATTTACTAACATTTTATAAATGAACAATTTTTTTTGGTTCTCTAAGAGTAATATCGTTAAATGCTAGATCCTTGAATAATAATAAGTTTGCTCAACTAAGAATAATTTTAGACATCCTAGCGGTTGATATAGCTTGTATACTAGATACTTGTAAACTAAATTGCAAAGACTACCTCCTCTTTAACTCGGGCGAAACAGAAAAAAAACTGGTGTGGAGTTTGTATATTGGTCAAAAAGAATTTATCGGGCTATATTTCAGGCGTAAATAGTAGGGTATGTAGTATAAAAATTAAAATATCTAGGAGTGATACTGGATAGAAAAGGAAATATTAAACTAGACCTAATAGCTAAATTAAATAAAGGCAGACTGAAATATAGATCTTTTATGAAAATATGGAGTTCGAATCAAATATCAATTCCTTTAAAGATTCGATTATTTAAAAATCTAATATTCCCCTCTTTAATCTATGGTATAGAAACCTGGAAAGATACTAAACAAGAAAGTAAAAAGATGCAAACTTTTGTTAACAAATGTCTTAGATATATAACCAAAACTTTCTATCCTTATAATACTTCGAATGATAATCTTTGGTCCAGATGTGACATCCTCCCTATATATAGACTATGTGAATATAGAAAAATCGAAATATTAGGACACATTCTCAGACAAGCCCCAAACAACCTAGTATATCAAGCCCTGTTTATTACCCCTTTGGATGAGTCATTTCTCAAACCTTTCCTATCCTACAAAAATAGTTGGTTTGGTAGAATAAATCGATCATTATCGGACATAGATCTATCTTGGGAATTCATAGAACGTGCTTCGTTGGATTGAAAAACTTACAAATTCGCACTAAGACTTATATACGAACATTTGACGAATAATTGCTGAGAATGTACTTGAAAGACTAATGTAAAGAAAACCATATACTCTAAATAAACAAGTAATGATGAGTGAGTTAAATTTATTTTATTATATTATTTAAAAATACAATTTCATATATTGCTTTGATATATATCTAGAGTTGAAGTTAATTTGAATAGGGCTATAGTAAATGAAGGCGGATTAAAATATTTCACATTGTAAGAAAATTCTAAATGGATTACATTACATTATGAGAATTAAGGCCTAATAGATTAAATAGATAGATATTTTAACTAAATAATTATAAAAATTAAATATAATTATATCTTCTAACTAAATAATTGGGAACAAATCGTAAATTAACTAAATGAAATATAATAATCCTATCAAAATAAGATCCTTTAATATTTGTATTGGGAAAGTAGTAGTAAATTTTTTAATGTAGTAAAAATTTATAAAAATTATATATTTTTTTAACTAAATCATATTAGTTTTTTTTTAAATATAAAAATCATATTAAGATTTTGTAGGAAATGGATTCGTCACTGATAAAAAACACAATACCCTCTACCCTAAATATTTTTTCATAGCTACCCAAAGGAAGTTCTCCTTATAAACCTATAATTTATATACAGGTAAATAGCTAATACGCTTCACCCCATAAATACTGATTGTATCAAAGCAAGGATATATTAAACCCACAACTTTTAATATGAATTAGATAATAATTATTTTTACATATTAACTAAATAAAACAAACATTGGACATATTATATGATAAATTAATTGATCATATTCTTTGATTTGTATGCACTAAAATTTTAAGAATATATAACCATTTTCAAGTTAAATAATTATATTTTCAATTCTACACAACACTGTATATAGGTGTAATGTAAAATAAATAATATACACCTAAATTCTACTAACATCATATATAACACTGTATATAGGTGTAATGTAAAATAAATAATATACACCTAAACTCTACTAACATCATATATGTATATGTAGGTAAATTATATATGGTATATTTATTTATTATATATCTAATAAATACATATATAATATTAAAATATATATTTAATATTTTAATATAATTATTTAATATATATTAAATATATTTTATTTATTAATCTTTCTAAATATATATTTATGTTATTTATATTTTTTAAATTTTACTAGTGGTAACATAAAATGAGTATGTTCTGACTATTTTAATTAATGCGATTTAGACCTCAATCCGACGAAAGATGGCACTGCTGTTTAAAATACAGCTATATATTAGGAAGTGAATTTCTAGATTAAATCAAATTTTTTTAAATTTAAAAATATAAATAAACACGAAAACTATAAAAAAACAAAAATACTTTTTACATGATACATAATATTTTAAATGTTGTGGTTATCCACTTTAGTGTTGTTAATCGGATTAGCCGAGTCGGCTCGAACAGAGCTGACCCATTTGGGTCGTTTTTTTCGACCTCGACCCGAGTCCAAGCCAAAAAAACGACCTCGACCCAAAATATGTGTCTTTTTTTTCGACTCAGACTTGAAGTTTGGTTGTTTTTTTTTCGACTCAGACTTGAAGTATATTTTTTTAAGGCCAATATGTAAAAATATATTTTGCAAACATGTTAAATTAAAATTTCAGTGAAAATGTACCATAAGAAAGTGACAATTGTCTTAATGTCATTTTTAACAATTTTCATTTTTTTTAAATACAAATGGGTAGCAAACATGTTAAAATAAAATTTTATTGAAGATGTACCATAGAAAAGTGACAATTGTAATAATCGCCATTTTTGAACTTTTTCCAATTTTTTTAAGGCAAATGGGTAAAAATATATTTTGCAAACATGTTAAATTAAAATATCGTTGAAGATGTACCATAGGAAAGTGACAATTGTCATAATCATCATTTTTGAACTTTTTCCAATTTAATTGATGCAGATAGATATAAATATATACTGTTAACATGTTAAATCAATATTTCAGTGTTGAAAAACCTTGAAAAAAATTAAAATAGCCATGTTGATAATTTTTTTAGAATATTTTGAAGAAAATGGTTAAAATATAAATTATAAACTAGTTAATTAAAATTTCAATAAAAGCCATAGAAAAGAGATAAAAGTCATAATTATTTTTAAACTCTATTTAATCAAATAGTAAAAATCTTATTTGTAAAACATGTTATATTAATATTTTAGTGTAGAAGAACCCGAGAAAAAGATTCATGGTGGCTAACTATCTCATATAAATACTTATTTATTTTTGGAAATTTTATTTATAATTAGTATTTCAAAGCCTGTTTTTATAAGAGTTTCCGCTATTTTTTCAATAAAGTAGCGTCTTATTAACCACTTTTTACAATACTTCGAAATTTTTTTTAAATATCTCTATATCCACAAATAAAATAAATATGATTAAAATATTAAATATATTTTATTTTTTTTATTGTATTTAAATAATAATATAGTGTCATCCCCAACTTTAGCGATGAGAAAGTATGATCCGAATAAATAAACTTTCTTATTTAATTTAATATAATAAAATTTTTATAGAAAAATCATTAAAAATATTAATTTAAATTTTTTTTAGATTTATAATATAGCGGCTAGAGTATTTTAAGTAGTATATTTTTTTATAAAATAATCTTCTATACTAGATAGCTATCATAGAAAATGAATATTCGATGACTTTCAAACAAATTGAGTTAAACATTCTCATGAATATTATTTATATTCAGACAATTATCAGCATATTCGAACTTCTATCCATCAAATACTTTCACTTAAATATGATTTCGTAAAACAAAATTTTCAGTGTGCATTTTGACTAGCCAAATACTTCCGGTTAATTTAGAGCATTTAGAGCAAATTTACCGATTGTCAACCATGCTTTTTAATACTAACAATAAATAAACTAACTTTAGTCACGCTAGACACCATGACTGATAGCGGTGGTTCTCCGTTGGTATCGAAGCAGGTGAAATTCGGCCCGAAATCGCAAAATATTTGTCCCGTCAGGCCTTTTGAAGAAGCGGAGCAAAAGGGGATATCGCTGCCATGACATATGTTGTCTATCCTCGTGACTTCACTGTCGGATTCAAAATTGCACAATACAACAACCTTTTTTTTTAAAAAAATAATAAGACATATTATATAGTATAAGTAGTGGTAGAGATTTGTAAAATAAAATAGGTGGATTATTTATTATATGATCTTTCTATCTAATCATAAGCTGATAAAATTATTAAAATCTCTTTTCTTTAAAAGAAATTTTAAAATGTTTGTATTAAAATACAGTTAAAAGGCATAGATTTAATGGGTTGTTAAAATTTGACAAGCATTCGTCCTTATATAAACAAGCGTCAAAATAATAATTTAAGGGGTCAATTTTTACCCATTGCCCTCTATCTAGATCAAATTTATCGGAAAAATAAATAAAAATTTAAAAGACCCTTCAAAAATGGTCTTATATACCCAAAATTTTAAGTTTAACGTTTTTGCTTAACATTTGACTATAATTAAATCTCATTCCAAGAAGGTGGTATGCTTGGAGTGTCATCATGTTGCAGAAAGTGAGAAAGGGATATATTTTTTTAAAAAAATAGATCATTTTGGATAATAATTACATTACTAAGATACAAAATAGGTATCTTTTCATATCATTATATTAACAATACTTCGCATTTAGAACATTTGGTTACTGTAATACTAATTGCATATTTTTTTTAAATGTTGTCTCAGCTTCTCTTACTGCCCTCAATATTGACAATGAAAGAATCAAAACAATCAAATCGCCTGCCAGTATCAATTATGAGACATGTTACTCTAATCATTGTTTTGTATCTTGAAATATAATCATGAATTCAAAAGTAAACGTACAAGAATTGTTCCAAATACATTTTCTCCCCATGGCGATTCCAATCATTTACAACCACCAATTCATTGAAGTAAGAAAAATATACCCTTTAATACTGTGATGTTAACATTCGAAAATCCCTTGAATTATTAAGGGCCTGCGTATCATTTTTACTTCGTTTGATATCATTTTATAAAATTTATTCTTCGACGAATAAATAGTTCAAAAAAAAAAGATTTTATAATAAATCTAAAAGGGGATGGATGAGATTATTATAATTTGTGCCATCTTTTTTCGTCCCTTGTAGGCATCATTGATTTCATTATGATTCAAAATATCGTTATTGCTCTCATTCCTATTCCAACAGTGCCATCTCTTTAGTCCTAACAGATGTTGCTCATAGATGGCACGAAGGGTTTAGCGAAATCTTGATGCCTGCAATCTTTTTCTTATATTTATATTGATTTCGCCGTTTTTTTAAAAAAAATCGGCTCAAAACGAGCCCTTTATCAACACTAATATCACTCTTTATCGGCATAACGTATATAGTAAGAGAAACAATGACAAATTCAAGTAATCCAGTATATCTCTTGTAGATTTCAAATCACATTTAGATCATTTACAATTTTTTTTAAAATGATTACTTCGTATAAAATAATTGACCTTAAGGATAATAAATAATTTTGAGTTTTTGTAAAAAAAAAATCCATATGGCGTAACAAAATCAAAATAAAAGGCATCAACGACACTTTCCAAAACCCATGATTCATAGCAAAAATTATGATTTAAAAAAATTCATAATTTTTTTTAAAAAAAACCCTGATAATCGTAATGTTGTAAAACGACAATATTTAAAATAATAAAAAAAAAATTCTTTCTAAATTGAAAAAATTTGAGAATATTTAAAATAGATTTTCTTTGATAAAAAAATATTGTATTTTTATAATTGATTAAAATTTATTGTCATTTTTTGTTTTTTTAAAAAAATTGCTTTAATATAAATTATAACATTTTAGCCAATAAATAGTAAGATTTAATTATTTTTATAGAAATTTAAATGTGTCGTATCTAAGAATTGGCATCAGATTGGAGCCTTTTTTTTAATAGATAAACATCTTGGAAATAATAAAACTGTTAAAAATTATCATAAAACAAAATGGAGGCTCTCAAATAACCCGGTCAAAAAAATTTTCAGGGTAGGATAGGCAAGAAATTGTTAAAAACGTGTCCAAAACTGATTTTATTTGCCGATACTGACTTATAATATTTTGATTGTTTTGATAACTCATTTTAACGTTCCAAGATGATTACACATTTTTTTTAAAAAAACTATCCATCTTGTGCCAATCCCGAGATATACGCATTAGAGGTCCGCAATAAGCCCCCGTTCGATTTCGAACATTGGGCGGCTGAGTCACGGGGTTAAAAAAATATTCTTAAAACAATAGTCAGGCGATGGGCGTGTGAATTTGAAATAATTTAATAATATAGCATAGTTTAATTAAAAAATTTAAATAATTAAACAGAGTGGGCGGGTCATAAAATTTTTAGATAAATGGACGGACGGGTGAATTTAGAAATCAAAGACCGAGTGGGTGAGTCGGTTCAAAAATCTAAAACAAAGGCGGGCGGGAGGTCGGGTATAATCCGCACGTTGCAGACCTCTAACACGCATTTAGGCAGGTCATTTTAATATCGACTCATCTCTGTAGGATAATGTCGAATGTGAATTATCTACATCATTACCTCACAGGTTAAGTGAGAAAAGGGGAAACGGTATTTGGTTTCTCGTTTGAGGAAAGGAAATCCGAAAATCATAAGCGCAATATCTTATAAGATTTTCAAATTTATTATATTAAATACTCACTAGATTTATACAAAATGTATGTATGTATTAGGATAAAATAAAATATCACATTAATATTGGGTTTTTAGGAAGAGGGATCCCAAATGAAGGTTATGTAATTGGACTTGTGCAGGGCTATTGGGAGCCTTTGCCTGAAATAGAATCTTCTCTCTGTGTTCATCAGTAAGTATGTGCAAACCTAAGTTCTTTGAAGAAGGATAGTGCAAGGCTATCATACGTTGCTGAGGTAATGGGAACATTGTGGTATAAAAAGATTGTGAAATATTTATAGTGATTTTTAACTGCCCTTTATGATAATTTTGGAGATAAGATTTATAGGATCAATCCAGGTAGCATCAGTGTTTTTCATCATATTTGAAAAGACCAAGAGGTTATATGGTGAATAGAATCAGGACTTACTTTATGGCATGCATTGCATTGTTAACCTTAAAATTTGTCTTTGTAATGGAAGTGCAGGCTGTGACATCCATTCGAATAGATAAGACAAATACAAAAATCAAATTTTGAGCTCATTTTAATCAGTGGAAGTTTTGAAGCCATAGTTTACTTTACCCAAATTCGTATAGCACAAATGAAATCATGATTAAAATATACTTCGCCAATGTTTATAATATTGTGTGAAAATTCATTCCTAAATTCCTAGAGCACCAATTGCTTTAAAATTCTGTATTTCATTTTTTCTTCTCTATTTAATTATTGGAACAATAATTCCTCAAAGTTATCTTTTCTAAATCTTCAGTTGCAAACTAATAATGAGCTAACATGTAATTAATACTGCTTCAATTACTCAAATAAACTATTACTCTGGTTGTAGTTCTGCAAACAACTTGAAGGGATGGCACAGGACATATCCTAAGGCAAAATCAATGCAATCCTTCAATGTGGCCTAAAATCTGCTCATCAACCTTAGAAACATTCTGTCTCTTCAGATCTGAAGGAAAATGACTAAAAGCATTATTTAAATCCCATGAAAAGGAGGCCAATTCCTAATATGAGATTAATCCTATATTGATAGCTCTTTGCAATATAAAGTCCAATATATATCATATCTTAAAGAGCAGTAAAAAATAAACAAATATTCAGAAATATTTGATAATTATATTTATATATCAATTATTTGCCCTACATTAGCCACATACAGTGGCCTAACATTATCCTTCTTAAAATTGGACTCATACATCCATACATTTACTGAACCCTAGGAAAATTTTATCCCAGACAAAGGCTCACAATCATATACAGGTCCAAATACATTAACTTCACCAGGTCTCCTTCCCAGAGTATCTAATGTAAATATTTTTAAAAAAATTTAATCTTTTTTTTAAATATTATTAGTGATCTGTATCAGGCCTAATTTTTCAAGCCCAGCTTGATCAAATCTATTTTTTATTTGGCCCTCAAAATAAAAATCAATTGTCAGCCCAGCCTGGCTCAAATTTATTTAAATATAGAAAATTACTGAATATCATATTTAAAAAATCAAAGCCCAACCTAATCCAATTTTTTTTTTAAACTATTAGGCACCCCAAACCATATTATTTTTAAAAAATAGGTATAGACCCAACTTTGGACCAGGATTTGCAGATCTCTAATATATATAAATTTTTTAATTTTAATGTTTTTTCTTACTTATATAAGTTTTATTGTTTTATGTATATAAATATAATATAGTATAAACTATATAAAATAAAATACTTGTCATATATAAAATTAAAATTACTGTATATTTTAACAAAAAATCCTGAGTTAAATTTCCAGTATAATAAGATACTGCGACATATGGATTGAGTTCAGCTAATTTTAAATAACAAGATTTTGATCTATTCTTCCCAATACAATCTTCATTTAGGTAAAACTTTTTAATATAAAAAAAATATGTAAAGTATTAATATAATTTGATTTATAAACTTTATATATATATATATAATAGTAAATACTTGAGAAGATAAATCAGCTAAAGTGGTTTCCTTATTATCCCATAATGTGACACTTTTAACACCACCTAATATGATATTTTTGGCAATTTCAACACCTAAACCATCCATTCCACAAATTAATATATTAGATATTGCCATCTTTTTCATTGCCTCTTGGCCAAGAACATATCTTTTAAATAAAACAATATAAATTGTTATGAATTTTTATCGACTAACAGTTGTCGTGAGTACAACTCTTCATCAATTTCAGAGTTCCTAGAATTCTCACCATTGTTTTCTGTGTGATTATTATAATTTTTGATGGTTCCATTAGTAGTAATATCCATCTAAATATAATATTTTCAGTATTAATAAATATAAATTACAATACGTTATTATGAGTAATTTGATTATGTTCTGAATGTGTATATTTATGCTTTTTATGTGGGGGTGAACAGCGATTCTCGGAGGTTAAAGAGGAAAAATCTTCCATCTAAATATTATAGTTATTTAGTATTAAAGACAAATATATTGAATATTATTTTTTATGTAAATCATTTTATATATTTGACATATTAAAAGTAAAATTACATAAATTAAGTATTCACTTACATCAGATTCATTTGTTGTGATAATATTATTCCTTTTCATACGCCCTAAGGTATGTATGTAAGAATTAAAAATTATTGATTTACATAATTTTCATGTTCTATAATATATTTTTTAATATGGACACATAGATAATCTGCATAATAATACTAGTTTAATATATTTAGAGGATTTCTTATTGATTTCCTTAATTTTATGAAACATGCAAATATGTATGTATTAAGCAAATATCGCGCGTAAGAAGCCTTATAAATATAAAAAGGTCCCACTAAGTGTGATTAGTCACTAGTATAGGTGAGATATATGGTAAAGGAAATATTGATTTATTATATTTGTTTTTTAAGACAAAATAAGGTCATTTATATTTATATTTATTCGTTTAATTAATATCTCCTAGAGAAGATCAAGAATGATAATTACATTTATTTCATTATACATATCTTGATTCGTATATTATTTTGCTTGCAATATATTTGTTTTTCGTGAATTTAAGAATATAGCTGTATGCATCTAGAGAATTTAAAAGATATAACCTTTTTAGATTAGTTATTAGTACAAGCAAGTGGGGGAAGGGAAGGGGGGATTTCCCCAGTCTTAGAAAGTTTGTTAATTTTTGTAAGTATCATAAAAAAAATTATCCTATACTTTTCCGCCTACTACATTTCCCAAAAAATGGGTACCATGGTCTCATAGGCGTAGCCAATATTTTCCTGTGAAGGGGAAGGGGGGGGGGAGTGATAATCATTTTCTGAGGGGAGGGGGTTGCTTCTCAAACCTCCCTTTTGCCCTTGACTCGCTTTTGCGCATCTTTTAGATAAGTACCTAGCCGATATATAGTTAGAAAATATTTTTTAGGATAGGAAGTTAAAAACAACTTATTATATATTTAAAATGTGCAAAATTGGTTACTAAGAGATGGTATCAAAAAATAATCTTGGCATGATGGAACAACTAGAATATATATTTATTCTAATTTGTATCATTAATACAAAACATTTCTTAAATAATATTTAGGTATTATTGATATTCACTTTTTTTATATATAAAAGATTTTATACAAGAAAATATAAATTATAGTCATTAGTTAGTTTTAAAAAGTTAATAACTTTTACATTCTTTCTTTAAAATTATTGGTTAATATATGCACATAATTTTGGAGAAAGGGGGGGAGAGGGTTAACGAGAATACTTTTATTAGGTTACAATTATATTTACCAAAGGTTACTTATTTCTGAATAAGAGAATTTTCCTTTGCCCCCCCCCCTTTTTCTATCCACAGCGCCTACACATGATGGAAAATTTACTATATGCATTTACCTCACCTGTGTAGTCCTTAAAAAATTTAGAAATTATTGATTTCACCTTTTAAATTGATACTCCCTTCATAAATTTTAAAAGGAATAACTTAATTTATTAATGATCTACTACCAACTAACAAAATATTGTAAAAAGAGTTATTTTTTAGAACATGAATTTAATTAAAAACCCCCACATTAACATTGAATGCATTGTTATAGTATATTGTCTGGTATGTGTTGTATTCTTATAATATAAATAATTTCTTTAACAGATGTATTAACTTCGTAAGGGCTATTTTGATTATTATTATTACAATAAAAAAGTAATAGTAAAAAAGATCATTCATTGATTATTGTAAAAATTGATCTTTAATTTATTTTGTAAGAATAAAAATAAGAAAAAGAAATATTGTTAAAATAAATCATAGAGTATTGCCAAGCGATCTTAAATTCAAATAAAATATATATTTTAAAAGTAAAATTTCCATAATTATATCTAGATAATTTACATCACAATAGAACGTTGTTTATTCTTTTTATTCGATTTATGAAACCATGAATATAAGTTACGGATAGAATCTTTAACCCTTTATAATTACATTTAAAAGGATAGCAGAGTGTGTTCCAGAAATTTAGGTTGTGTGCAATATATAGATTTGTTCGATGTTTAGCAATAACATTGTTATTTTTACAGCAATACATTTTTCCATATTTTATCTAAAAATTTAATAGATAAACCCCCAATAAATTTATCCTACCCCTGGGTTCCCCCCTTAAATGCCCACCCCCTACCCCCTCATAAAAATTGGATGCAAACTGTTCCTACCTCCACCGCTCATGTAGCCGAAGTCTACATTTAGGAATTGTCTAATTGCAAATAATAATTTTTTTTAAATAGTGATGAAAATTTTTTATAAAAAGTAACTTTAAAAAGTATAATCCGATCCGTTCAAGGTCTTTAAAAAGATGGCCTAAAATGTTCCGATAAAATATATAATAAAAAAGCATTAAAAAGTATCTCCCCTCTCTATACAGAAATCCTATACCGCAGGCCGGTATAGGTCAGTTCATGAGGTACAAGGTTCGATGATACAATGGATTGGCTTAGGTTTTGGGTCGTATCTTCCGACTCGAACCCGACTCAGCAATTTAATAATGCTATGCAGGAATAAATTACAAACAAGATTTATTTTTAACTTTAAGATAACCGTAAAATAACTCCCATTTTTCACCTAGAAAAATAAACATATTGGCAAACATATTTTCAAATTTTCAAAAATTTTTCAAAGTAGGAGAATTAACTTCCTTTTTTACTAGAAAAGTAGAAGTATGAAGTAAAATATATTTATGAAATTTTCAAAACTTTGATGAAAAAGTTTAAATAACTTGTTTTTCTTTCCTATGAAATAAAAAGATTGGCAAGACATATTTGTATCTAAGAAAAGAGCGAAATAACTCATTTTTTATATGTAAAATAGATAGATTGGCAGAAATTTTCAAAACTTAAAGGTCTAATAACTGATTTTTTTTACTAGAAAAAAATAGGAATATTGGAAAAATATATTTGTGAAATGAGAGTTGTGTTAAATGCTAGAATAAGAATGGGGTTTACTAGCAGGAGAATTGATATTAGAGATTATGTCAATATTTCTAGGGCTCAAGAAAAATATAGATAAAATAGTTATAACATCTCCAATTCGATTAATTCTTAAGGTTATAATGGCTTTTATTATAGAAGAATGATTTTGGTAAAAAATAATTAAAAGAAAAGAAATGAGACTTAAACCATCGCATCCTAGGATAAGAATAATTATTCTTGGGATGATTACTATAAGAATTATAGAGATTATAAATAAATGCTTATTTACATCCTTTAATATATAATAAAATATGTATACTAGTACATTTAATGAAATTAGTGTGAGAATAAAAATAAAGGACACCGAGAAGGGGTCGAATAAAAACAAATCTTATATTTTTAAGTATAATTAAATTATAAGATAATTTTGTTGATAATATAATTATAATATTGGTTTGTATAGTTATAAACATAATATTATAACCACACAAACCAGCAGTTTATTTTTGTTTACCCCCCTTTTTATTTTCTTATTTATTGTGAATTGATATAGTTTATAGATATCAATATTAAAGTCACAGTTTAAATTTAATTCACAAATAATATATTCAACCCCTTATCATATCATTAATGATATAAATAATAAAATAAAAAGGGGAATAAAGGATCTTAGCAAAAAAGAAGAATAAAAGTCTGTTTTTTTAACCCCCATAGAGATACGAGTAAAAATAAAACTGGAAATTAAAATTAGAATAATTGTATTAAGAATAATAGTATATATAAAGAAGTAAGAGAAATTTATTAAATTGTAAATAATAATTATTTCAGGAAATAAGTTTAGGGAGAGGGGGGGGGGCAACTAATGTTAAATATTAGAATTATAAAGAAGATTAGTGTATCATACAAAGATTTTATATTCATTTGAGATTTAACTAAGATTATATTTCTGGTAGACATTTTATTACACACCAGATAAAAGATAAGAAATATAGAAGGTCTGATAAACCCGTGAGATACACTTATTACAATGGACCCTTCGAGGGAGATAGAATATTGACAATATTCTGATAGTAAGAAAAGTTATGTGAGACACTCTAGTATAGGCAATTATAATTTTTCCATCATTATCAAATGATATTCCAAATCTAGATGTGAACATCCCCCATATAGGCGTCGACATCAGGATCCATAATAAATAGAAATATGGTCAAACTTTATATATCTTAAAGATTTATTATTCCTAATAAAACCCCATTAATTGACCTGCATAGGTGCAGCCAGGAATTTACTGAGGATAAAGGGTGAGAATATTATTAAAGAATCAGTACGATCAATTAAATTGTGTGTTAATTTATATATTATAATATATGGTTGCTACGGAATTTTTCCCATAAATGTTATTGGAGTAGGTCAACTTATTGCAAACCCTTGGCAAGTTACATTTTCTTTATATATCAATCATGGTATGCAGGGATTCGATCTTAACCCGGAGAATAAAACCCGGGTTTTTAGAAAAAAATTACAACCGGAACCGAACCCCGTTTATAAAATTTTCAAAACATCGAACCGAACCTGGGAATTTAGTTTGAACCCGGGTTCAACCGGGTTCTTTTTATTGTTTAAAATCATATATTAAGATATTTGTATAATTTTAAATATAAATATTAATAATTTAATTGAGATTTTATAATATTTTCGAATTTCCAATTAAGTGAGGTGTTAATAAATTTTAAACAACATAATTCATTTAAGCCATTTAAAAATTTTTTAATTTATTCTCAAAGATTCCTATTGGCGTGTTAATAAATTTTAAACAATTAAATTCATTTAAGCTATTTATTTTTAATTTTTAACTTATTCTCAATGATTATTAATTAGAGGAAAATAAAATTGAACAAGTCAAAATAAAAATTATTATATTGGATATTGTTAATATAAAGAAATACGTCTAAATAAAATTTTTAAAATTGATACATGACTTGCTATGTATTTTTAACTATATTTTGCCTATAAATAAAAGAAAAAATTTATTTTTTATACCAAATTTATGTCTAGTTTTTTAATTGATTTAAATATAGAATTTTTATTTATCAATTCAAAAATTCTTAACCCCGAACTGAACCCGGAACTAAACCCGGGTTCAAAAATATTTTCCTGGACCGAACCCGAACTAAACCCAACTATTTATTTTACCTTAAACCGAACCCAAACCGAACCAGGGCAAAAATTTTACCAGGTAATCCCTGATGAAGAGCTAATAAATTTACCAGT